TTTTTTTTTTTCTTTTCCTGCCCAGGTTGCTGTTTCAACAAAGTACTTTTAAATTCCATCCATTCAGATTTTAAGCATTTTGATTTATTTAAAAAGGGATTGTTCATAGAAAAAAATTACTTCGAACAGTATACAGGACTGGTGGAGACTGGCTATGTCACAACAGCAGACAGTACAATCAGTATCTGCCATATGGCTGGTCTCTGTAGATGCCCTTTGCTGATGCCACTTCCCCGCAGTACTTCCCTTCCGAATTCCTTCATGCTGACAAGCTGAACTCCATTACCACACAGCTTCCTGTTCATCTTGGAGTAAAAGCAAAAGCCAGGGACAGGTGCTGTGCTGTACTTAGCCGCTCAGTCCGACTCTTTGTGACGCCATGGACTGTAGCCTGCCAGGCTCCTCTGTTCATGGGGATTCTCCAGGCAAGAATACCGGAGTGGATTGCCATGCCCACGCCAACCCAGGGATCAGACCACACTGCAGGTGGATTCTTTACCATCTGAGCCACGAGGGAGGCCTAGGACAGGTGGTACCAAGGCTCTAAAGCATATGTTGTACAGGCAGGCTGTGGTCTCTTACGAAGCGTACCACTGCCCACCTAGGCTTGAGAGCACGTCATCCCCCGAGTTTTATCTTTCTACCCCATCTGGTGTAGCAGTTAGGTCGTCCAGGGTTGCTCTCCACCTACTGGCATGGCAGGGGCTTTTTTCTTTTTTTTTCTCGCAGGTGCTTTTGAACAAAAAAGACTCATCCCCAACTCAAGCAGAGTAGCACGACTGTTATTGTGCATTTGGGGGGCTCTGGAGAAAAAAAAAAAAACATTTAAAATAAGTAGGCTCTGATGCTATCAAAAACTAATTTGGAAATAACTGTGTTGTATATATAGACAGGTTTTTTTGTTTTAGTTTCAGTGGGCCACTTCTAGCCTAATAATGAAATTAGGTGACTCGTTAGTGGATACTTGGGAATTCCAGTTTTCCACCAAGTTCCATACTCCCTGGTGACTAGAAACATTCAGCTTGTCTATCGTACAGGATTTGCTCTCACATGAGTTTGCCCCAAATAGACCTTGCTCCCTAATGGTACACAGGGAATATTCTTAACCTTGTATGAAAGGGGACACACCCATAGAACTCCCCCGCCACCTAGGAGGTTGTGTGGGTTGAGCCAACAGTAGTGCTTATCTTGGGACTTCGTTCCCTGGTAATGACTGGGCTAGCTCTTTGCCCCGAGATGGGGGGAAGAGTGCCCGAGCCTCTCACCATGCACACCTCAAGTGAGTACCTTCACATATGTGGGTGCAGAGGAGCTAGTGTTTCCTGACAAGCGGAGAAAATGAAGTCTGCCTTGCTTGGCAAGTGATGTCATGAGATCGGACCAGAGTCTAGCCAGTCCTTTGGTGGTGGGTTCAGGACTCTCCTCTCATGCTCAGCTCAAGACCTGGCTCCCTATTTGGGAGCAAAGGCAGGAAGGAGCTGGGAGCAGTGTGGAGGCTGGCTTGCCAGGCCCAGGGAGGCATCTCGTATTTTCGAGGTGGCACTAGGCCAGGCAAGGACCTGTCCTCTTTCAGCTACAGCAGCCCCGCGGTGAAGGGTAACCCACTTGTTCTCAGGCTAGCATTTGAAGCCGTGTCTATCTGAATCCAGTCTCCTCTTCCCTGGCCTCTTCAGTTTCCTTTTACTGACAGTGAAAAAGAGGAGGGTGAGTTACAGAGTTGGGTTGGAGGCATCACGTCTTCCTGGGCCCCTGTGTTTCAGGTTCCAGTGCGTGTTCAGGGTGCTGCCGCAATGCCTGCGCCCAGAGACGCCCCTGCCCAGCGTGCTGCTGACGATTGAGCTCCTGTCCCTCCTGGTGGACCACGAGAAGCTCGCACCTCAGCTCTGCTCCCACTCAGGTAAAGCAGGCCAGGGGGCGGGGGGCACGCACCCGGACAGCTCCGGCTGGTTGAGGGGACGGGGGTGGCAGGGATGGGCCAGGCACCTCCTGAGGGCTCCCCCAGCTTGTACCTCAGGCGGTGGGAGGGAGGGCAGAGCCTGAGTGTGAGTGGGGCCTCCCTTCCAGAAGGCTGCCTCCTGCTGCTGCTGTACATGTACATCACGTCAAGACCTGACGGAGCCGCCTCCGAGGCGCAGTGGCTGCAGCTGGAGCAAGAGGTGGAAGCACCAGAGCCCCTTGTGGACGGCTCGCCTCCCCGCCCCACGCCGCCCCGCCGGAGGGGCGCCTTTCTTCCTTCTCAGGGGATAAAAGGGGCTTTCATTCACATTGGTGATACATTTAGAGACTAACAAGGAAGACTCGTTTTGGGGGGCCCCCTACTATACAGATACAACACACGTGGACCCAGGGTATCCTGGGACTTGACAGGGTAGCCTGGCAGCTGGAGGTGGGCCTGGAGGCAGGGGTCATTGGTGAGACACAGGTCTTGGTCCTGAGCATCTCCTGGGAAGGCCCAGGATACCATCACCTCTTGGATCCCATCAGTGCAGACAGTTCAGTTTAGTTGCTCAGTCGTGTCCGACTCTCTGCGACCCCATGGTCTGTAGCATGCCAGGCTTCCCTGTCCATCACCAACTCCCAGAGTTTACTCAAACTCATGTCCATCGAGTCAGTGATGCCATCCAACTATCTCATCCCCTGTCGTCCCCTTCTCCTCCTGCCTCCAGTCTTTCCTAGCATCAGGGTTTTTTTTAAGGAGCCAGCTCTTCGAATCAGTGACCAAAGTATTGGAGTTTCAGCTTCAGCATCAGTCCTTCCAGTGAATATCCAGGACTGATTTCCTTTAGGATGGACTGGTTGGATCTCCTTGCAGTCAGTTGCTTAGGCAACTGGAGCTCTGCAAGAAGCCTGAGAAAGCCCTCGCTGTGACCGGAACTTGGGTGGCGTTCTGGCGTGGATGGAACCGAGTCTGTTCTTGTTCTAGGCCGTGTGGCTCCTGGCCAAGCTGAGTGTGCAGAGCCCCCCCTCCCCAGTCACTGGCTCCAGCTGCCAGTGCAACGTGGAGGTGAGTGCCGGGCGCAGAAGGGGGCTGGCGGCCGGCAGCCCTGCTGGTGGCTGACGGGGCCGTCTGAGAGCATCCCATGCTCCTTCATCAGGGCTGGACCCTGGTGCCACCCCTCAGAACCCTCCTCACCCTGGGGGAAGGCTAGGACTGGGGCCACCCCGCCAAGCCGGTGGTCCAGGTGCAGAGACCACATGCCCTGACCTCCGCCCGTGCCCTCCCGCAGGTGGTCAGAGCACTCACGGTGATGCTGCACAGACAGTGGCTGACGGTGCGGCGGACAGGGGGGCCCCCAAGGACCGAGCGGCAGAGGCGCACAGTGCGGTGTCTGCGGGACACAGTACTCCTGCTGCATGGCCTGTCCCAGAAGGACAAGCTCTTCACAGTGCACTGCGTGGAGGTCCTGCACCAGTACGACCAGGTCATGCCCGGCGTCAGCACGCTGATTCGAGGGCTTCCTGATGTAACTGACTGTGAAGGTGAGCCCGCAGGAGGGCCCCACCCCCCCACCCCAGCCCCGACGCGGGGTCGGCCCTGAAGTCCCCGGGCCAGTCAGACCCCCTGGCCTTAAGTCAGCGGCCCGCCATCCACACAGCCTTTGCCGGCACCGGGCCACCCTTTCCTTCCTGCTCTGGCTCCTCTCTCAGTATATCAGCCTGCCTTTGGCTCGTATCTACTGAGTCAGCTTGGCAGAGCCACGGCTTTTCCAGAAGCATCCCTGTCTGAACTGCCTTTGTGTCACTTTGCTTGCAGTAGCTGAGGGAGCGAGGCCTGGGCGTGGAAGGGACTGGTTAGTTCCTGTGGGCCTGGGGGGCGGGCGGAGTGGTGGGGCCACCCCCAGTCCCGGCGCCTTTGGGCCATCACCACAGAACCTTCTGGTTTTTGCCTCAGAGGCGGCCCTGGAGGATCTCTGTGCCGTGGAGACCGATGTGGATGAGCCTGAGATGGACTGTAACTGAGGCCTGTGAGCACCGGCCACACGGTGGCACCAGAGCCACTCCCGCCCTTCCTTCCCTCCTCTGATTAAAACCACCGACTGGCTGAGAACGCGCCAGCCTTCTGTTTCCTGAGTTTGCTCAGCGTCGGCAGAGCGGGAAGGACAGAGGAGGGGGACCCGGGAAAGGCTGAGATCCCTGCTGGGCCTTGCCGGAGCTGAGCTCCAGCACCACGGGGATGAATCTGCCCTGGGGAAGGAGCCCTGCCCGCTTGTGGATTTGCCCTGAGTCATCCCTCTCTCCTGAGGCCACAGGAAGAAACCATTGTGCGCAGGGGTGGAGGCGGCCCTCAGCCCAGGCCTAAACCAGGGAGGCCTGGGAAAGTGGGGCCATGGACTGGGTGCAAAAGGGCCACGGCAGGGGGTCTCCCGGCAGGCCGAGTCATGGAGCCAGCCTCCCCCAATAGCCTGGTCCTCCCACCATGAGCGTGCGAGAGCCCTGGTGCACCATGCTAGCCAGTGGGCCTACAGCCAGAGATCTGAGGCCTTTGGGGCAGCCCTGCGGGTGCCTGGGGAGGGACGGGTGCTGGTAGGAGGGATAGCCCAAGCCAGCTGACGAGCGGGGCGGGCCATGCTCACACCAGCCCTTGGGCGGGCTCAGACCAAGTTTCACTTCCCGCCACTGCTGCTGCCGGCAGCAAGAACCAGGCAGAGTGTGCACCCTGAGTCATTGCTGCCTGCCGGCTCCTCGGTAAGTGAGAACCCCCAAGGGATTGAGGCAGGGTGGGAGGGCCGTGGTACCCCCCACACTAAGAGGCCACCAGGGGAGGAGCTGAGCCTGCACCTGAACAGACAGCCGAGTGAGTGGGTCCCACTAAAGAAGCCATCCTACTTTCTCTGTCTTCCTGCCTGAAAGTGGGTGCTGGAGCTCAGCAACAGGCCCTAATGGGGCAGGGAAGGCCAGAGAGGTGTTCCCACCCCACCCGCCCTACTGCCTGTCAGCGGGCACTCACCCTCCCACCCCAACCCCCTGCTCCTCCGCAGGCTCAGCGGCAGACACCCACCATGGGCTCACGGGCCCTGCCCCCAGGGCCTGTGCAGACCCTCATCTTCCTGGACCTGGAGGCCACTGGCCTGCCCTTCTCCCAGCCCAAGATCACTGAGCTGTGCCTGCTGGCCGTCCACAGATATGCCCTGGAGGGCCTTTCCGCCCCTCAGGGGCCTGCGCCGACAGCGCCTCCACCGCCCCGGGTGCTGGACAAGCTCTCCCTGTGCGTGGCTCCAGGGAAGGCGTGCAGCCCCGCGGCCAGCGAGATCACGGGCCTGAGCACCGCCGTGCTGGCTGCCCACGGGCGTCGGGCCTTTGACGCCGACCTGGTCAACCTGATCCGCGCCTTCCTGCAGCGCCAGCCACAGCCCTGGTGCCTCGTGGCCCACAATGGTGACCGCTACGACTTCCCCCTGCTCCGGGCTGAGCTGGCGCTGCTGGGCCTGGCCAGTGCTCTGGACGACGCCTTCTGTGTGGACAGCATCGCTGCCCTGAAGGCCCTGGAGCCAGCTGGCAGCTCCTCGGAGCACGGCCCAAGGAAGAGCTACAGTCTGGGCAGCATCTACACACGCCTGTACGGGCAGGCCCCGCCAGACTCGCACACCGCCGAGGGAGACGTGCTCGCCCTGCTGAGCGTCTGTCAGTGGAGGCCGCGGGCCCTGCTACGGTGGGTGGATGCTCATGCCAAGCCCTTCAGCACCATCAAGCCAATGTACGTGGTCACAACCTCTACTGGAACCGACCCAAGGCCATCTGCTGTCACAGCCACAGTGCCCCTGGCCAGAGCCAGCGACACCGGCCCCAAGCTTCGTGGAGACAGGAGCCCCAGGCCAACCCCTTCCCCAGTGAAGCGCCCTGGAGCCCCACCCGGGGAGGGGCTGCTGGCCCCCTTGGGCCTGCTGGCCTTCCTGACTTTGGCGGTAGCCACGCTGTATGGGCTGTCACTGGCCATACCCGGGCAGTAGGCCAGGAAGGGAAGTCTGACTAATAAAAAACCCCCACAGCACTGAGTGATCACTCACCTCTACCCTCCGTGGTGGCCTTACAGCCTCTTGCCCACACTCAGAGACCTGGGGCCAGGGGCACAGAAAATGACAGTCTTTGTCCAGCACCCTTCCTACCAGGACGGTCAGACTTCTGAGTCCAAGAGAAGTAGGAGACCGTGAACTTCAAATACTGGAGGGAAATGATAGCTAGCCTCACCCCCAATCCCAGCAGCCAGGGCTACAATGAAAGGAGGCAACAGCTCGAAATATCTGCATTTATTACAAACAAGGGTGCAGACCCGAGACTCCAAAACACATTAAGAGGTCCCGACCTACGACGTGGTAAGACACGAACAGAGGGGTGGGGAACACCGAGGTATGTGTCTAGGTCACAGGAGCCCCCTCAGGGTCCCCTCCACCTTTGGTCCAGACGACACCTTGGCCCAGGTGTCCCCGCTGCCAGGACATGCCTAGGCCTGGGGTCCAGCAGCCGGGTAGTCTGTGAGGCTGGTGATGGGGAAGCAGGGACTCTGAGTCCCTCTCCTCTCTGGGGAAGTCTCCCTCTAGGACCCAACGGTTTCAGCCTCACAGCAACCATTATACACATTTTGAAACAGAAAACAAGGTAAAATATTTAGCTTAAAGTAAAAACACTGCAGGGAGGACACCTGAGTGGATAAGTGGTCAGAGGCTGCCCTGTCCACCTGTGAAAGGGGCCAGGGCCAACCGGGGCAACCAGAACCATGGGTAAGTGGAGGCCTCCAGGTGGTCCCAGGAAGGGTGCAAGAAGGATCCAGGAAGATAGTTTTCAGGAAGGGTGAGGCTCCACCTGAGGCGTTCAGATAATCAGGTGGCCACCCACCCTCCACAGGGCACAGCCCAGGCTGCAGGAGCCACGGGAAAGGTCGAGACCCACCTGCAGCCAGTTCCTCAGCCTCACCCACTAGCCCGCACCGTGGCTCTGGTGCTTCAAAGACAAACCTGGGGACAAGCCCTGACCTCGTGCCACGGCTAGTCATGCCACAGAAACCGGAGGACGGGTGCATCCTGCCCGCACAAAAGCTGTGCTGTCCTAGCACGACAAGCATCCCTGCTCCGGCCCCAGGTCTCGCTGGCGTGGCTGGAAAAGAGCTGTTCTGTGGGGTCCGGGCAGCATGATCTCAAGTGAGGAGGGGAGCACAGCGTGGTCCCGGCAACTCTGACATGGACTGCTTCCTGCACCCCGCATCGCCATCGCCAGAAGCCTCAGGTACAAACGGGACACACACACCACGTCCGGGGAGAAGAGGCCCGCACCCGCACACCCATTCACACACACAGGACAGACCAGCTGGCAGCCAGAGATGCCAGGGCGTGCTCAGGGGACTGCCTTCGGGGGCTCCATGTAGGCCGGATTATAAGGAGGCTGACTGGCAGGGTAGGGCAGGGCTGCACCTCCTGAAAACGGAGAGGACACCAGTTAGCTGTGGACATGGCTGCAGGGGGTCAGGCACGGCGAGAGTCGGCAGGCATACTCACCAGCCATCGTCTCGTGGTAGGCGGGGGGGCCCATGGGCTGGGTCGGGTAGGGTGCTGTTGGCATCCCCGGCTGGGGGACCACGGAGTGGTAGCCCTGGTATGTTGGTCCAGGGTAGCTGGGCGGTTGCAAGTAAGGGGTGTGCATCACCGTGGTGGCCGTGGTGGTGGTCACAACCGCTGCAAAGAAAGCCCCAGTCAGGACCGCCACGCTGGCCACCGCTCCCTCCAGCTCAGGCCAGTCAGGGCCCTGGTAAACCCACCACCACCACCCAGGGTCTGTACCTGACCCCAAGGGGTCACTGTGGGGCAGAGGGGAGATGCTTACGACTCGGCCGGCGGCACATCCTGTACAAACAGCAGCAGGAGCAGGTGCAGCAGACGATGACGGTGACCACGGCGATCACAAAGAGGGTCACCCCAATGGCGATCACTGTGCCAAACCTGACAGAAAGCCAGTCAGTGCTCCAGAGGCTGAGACTCCACACTTCCGCTACCGGAGGCATGGATTCGATCCCTAGTCAGGGAACGAAGATCCCACATACCGCACACGGCCAAAAAAAAAGGGCCTAAATAAAGCCAGTCAAGATCCAGGGCCTCTCGGCCCTACCCAGGACCAGCAACCCACACCACACCCACTCCCAGACAGCACCCCTCTAGCTGGAGGAGACTGGGCAACACAGATAAAGCCACTTCTGGGGTGTGGAGCTTGAACCTGTTTCACCCTCAAGTATATGGGGCTGACCGTGGCTGCGCCTGGGATTCCCCTCAGGAGCTTGGGAAAGGGCTCGTCAGGTCTCTTCCCCCATACACACGTCTCGTCCGCCTCCACCGAGCCAGCAGCACATGCACACCCCGTACCCACCACCAGCCAGGCCTTGTGTGGCTTGAATGCAAAACTCAGACGTGGGCGAGACAGACCAACTCATGGCTTCTGGGAGCCCACAGACCATTACAGGAGGCAAGGGTTGAAGGGAAAATGACTCAGGAAGCACAGGTGATGAATCACAGGGAGAAGTTTCCAGAAGCAGGGAGGCCAGTATGGCCAGGACGGTGGGGAGTGGTACGGCTACAGGCCCCTGGAGTGACGGTGAGCCTGCAGGATGCCAAGCACCATGACAGATGTCCTCATACACCCTCACTCCAACCAGAGGGGCAAGCAGGTGGGTCAACCAAGAGCCAGGGGAGAGGAGGCCTCCCTGCCTACGCAAGGCCCAGGCCTGAGTGGAGAGTCTGCCACCTGAGAAGGCTGGGCCTGGGCAGGAAGTTCACCAAAGCCGACTCTCAAGAGCAGTCACAGCCCCCTGGCGTCCTCCCTTGTTCCCAGAGGCCAAGCAGTATTCCTTCCAGTAAAAGGGAACTGCACCAACCAGTTGTTCCATTAAAACATGGAAGGGGCTTGGTGAGCTGTGAGCTGTAGGCTCCCCTGAGGCCTGGGGGAAAGGCTGAGGGGAAGGTCCCCCCACTTCCCCGCTCTGGGTGGAGGGCCTTCCATCTCATAGGCCAGCTGACATCACAGCTTTAGGATGGACTAAGGACAGACCCTCCACGCCCCGGACTCAAAATACCCAACTGCATTCATAAAACAGGAGCCACTGACCACTGTGAGACCCAGACCAAGGCCCCAAGACAGGAACCGTGGGAGTCAGGAGGTGCCGCCTGCCTAAGCAGAGGGCCTGTAACTGCCCTTCACCGCAAGCTCCTCCTAGGCCCTCTGCTGACCAAGGATGCAGACACAGACACAGACACACACACAGGAGCACGATCAATGGCACATGACTGCAGGGCCACCACCACCAATCTCTAATCTCTCTCTCTCCCACTCTCTTCCTCTCTTTTGTCTGTCTCTGATGCACAGCACAGCACCCAAGCTCACCCCATGTTAGTCTCCGCCTTCAATCAGGGGCCTCCTGCACCCCGGGGGTTTCCCCATTCCATCCTGAGGCCACTCAGTTTCAATCTCCTCCCCTTTCCAGGAAAAGTAAAGCGAATCTCCTCGGCACTCCCTGGCCCTGACGTCAGAGGCAGGAAGGACAGACGCAGAGCCTCTTAAAGACACAGTGCAGTGGATGCCCTAGCTGCTCTCCAAACTGGGGCCAGGACTGGGGAGGGAAGAGCTCAGCTGTCTCCTGGAGCGGCCTCCCCACCCCACTGTCCACGGGGTCCCCAACCACACTCCTGCTCCGCCTGGCTCAGCCCACCAGCCCCGTTCCAGCCATCCACTCAATGGGTACCTTCAGCCATCTGAGCCCATCAGCAGACCCAGAGCCTGCTGGCCGGTCCCCTCAGCTCCTCTTCTCCCACCAGTGCATGCTCCAGGCCTCAAATCTGCCAGAACCTGAACCTACCTACCCAGGTTCCCTTGGCCAGCCTGTCACGTCTGATCTTGTCGCTCCTGCTCAAGAGACTAGTATGGCTCCTGGAGCTCCTGGGATCATGCAGCAATTTGCTTTATAATTTCTTTGTAAACTCTGTGTAATGTGTGTGTATGTATACATACATATACATATATATATAATGGGCTTCCCTGGTGAACCAGACGGTAAAGAATCTGCCTGCAATGCAGGAGACCCGGGTTCGATCCCTGGGTCAGGAAGATCCCCTGGAGGAGGGTATGGCAACCCACTCCAGTATTCTTGCCTGGAGAACCCCGTGGACAGTAGGCTACAATCCACGGGGTCACAAAGAGTCAGACACGACTGAGCGAGCGACTCCGACTGAGTCAGAGCGACTAACCCTAATAACTAATATATAAAATAGTGTGATAAGAGAGGGAAAAAAATTATAGCATTTGTCTCATCAGAGAGTAACCCAATAAAGCAAATGTGAATCTTTAACTAAAAGTCTAAATAAAGGGCTTTCCTGGTGGCTCAGTGGTAAAGAATCTGCCTGTCGATGCAGGAGACACGGGTTGGATCCCTGATCCAGAAAGACCCCACATGCCATGGAGCAAAGAAGCCCATGCACCACAACTATTGAGCCTGTGCCCTAGAGCCCAGGAGCCACTACTGAAGCCCATGTGCCCCAGAGCCCGTGCTCCACAACAAGAGAAGCCACTGCGATGAGAAGCCCATGCACCGCAACTAGAGAAAATCCCGAGCAGCAACGAAGACCAGGCACAGCCAGAAATAAATAAATAAATAAAATTAATTTTTTTTAAAGCCTAAATAAAATGAAATTCCCTGTGTGGCCCGGGGGACTCCCACCCTCCATCCTGTATGCTCCAGCTACATCAACCTCCTTTCAGCTTTTTCTTTTTGGCTGTGCCATGCAGCAGGTGGGATCTTAGTTCCCTGACGAGGGATTGAACCCGTGCCTCCTGCACTGGACTCGCAGTCTTTACCACTAGGCTGCCAGGAAGTCCTCCTGTTAGCTTTTGGAAGCACTGTGGGCTCTGTCCTCCCTCAGGGCCTTCATACAGGCAGTTCCTCCTACAAAACCACCCCATCTGCTCTTCTCTTCCTCCCACCCCTATACAATTCACTCTTGGCCACTTTTCACATCTCAGATCAAAACATCACTGCCTCTGACACGCACCTCAGGACACCGCCCCTGACCATGCAGAAAAGGTCAGACTCCTTGATAAATGCTCTTATAGAATTGCCTGTCTACTTCAGTTTATCAACACACACTTCTTTGTGTGAGCACTGGATTACTGTGCAACTTGTCTCCAGCCTATGGATTCATGGAGGCACAGACTGCACCAGCCCTGGACCATCACTGTCTCCAATGCCTGACCGAGACAGCAGGTGCTCAGAAAGTATCTGACAAGTGAATCAACTCACTCAGGGATCCCGTGGGCAGCACTGGGTAGGACAGCAGGCCAGATGCCGAGAGGAACAGCAATATATGAGGGGTGGCTGCACAGTGGGGCACGGATCTGTGGCCCCAACAGGCCACCATTCGAACAGAATCACACCTCCAAAAGGCTGAGGCTACTCCCCAGGTCAAGGAGTCCAAAGGTCAAGTTCAGAAGGCAAGAGTCGGCCTAGGCAGGAGGGACAGAAGGTCAGAGAAGCAACAGCCCAGGCAAGAAGCTTGCAGCAGGGCTGAACAGGACAGTCCCTAGGAGGCCAAAGACCCCCATTGTCCCGGCAGCAAAAGGGCCGTCTCTGGAGCTGGACACCAGCATTCCCACCACTGCACTGGCCAGGCAGCACGTGGCCGTGACCTGGTGGGTGGAAGAACTGCAGGGACGGTGCGGTGAGGGCCAAGAACTGACACAGGCTGGCCATGCCCACGCCTCAGCGACCAGACCTCCCTGCCTTCCCGCTGCATTGTCACGGCAGAGCCGGCATGGAGGGTCAGCAGTGAGCCAGGCCTGGGGTCCGCAGCCAGAGTTTCCACCACTCCGGTGCTTCAAAACACACCATTCCTGCCAGCTGATCCTGTGAGTGAAAGGAGCTGGGAAGTGACAATGACATCGGGACCCAAAAGGACCGTGGCAGGGAACCAAGAAAGCTCAGGGGTCGGGGGGGCCATAGGGACCAGCCACCGAGCATCAGCAGGGCAGGATGGGAGTCACCTGCTAAAGTGGCAGGAAGACCCGCCGATAACGCCCGCTCTGTGGGGAACACGGAGAGAGCCCAGGTTCTGAAGGCAGATGGAGTCCCAGCTGCGCTGCTGTGCTCTGACCTGCTGCCTTGTTCTTGGGGAACCCAGGGAGTCGCCCAGAGGAAGAGCCGGGGTGGGGACAGTCCAAGAATGAAGAAGGAGGGGGCAGAGGTGGGGACAGGGTGGAGTTGCCCAGAACCCCTCAGCACATCGGGTCCTTCCACTGTGGGGCATTCGCGGAAGCTTCCAAACAGGGCTGGACCCCAGCAAGGAACCATCACGCCAGTGGATGATCAACGGTGTCCCCGGCCGAGGAGGCAGCACACCAATGCTCACCCGAGAGGGTGGCCCCCTGGGGCCCTGATGGGTGGTCAAGGGGACACCCAAAGGAGATGTGACTCCATCCCTCCACCTCCCAGTACCCGCTCCTGGAGCCTCAACCCTATAAGGCAGGTGCTGGACACCACGCTGGGGCTCCGCTCAGAAGCAAAGGAGAGACAGGGCAGGATGGAAGAAGGCCCACAGAGGGAAGAAGGGTCCACACTCCCAGTGGACGGGCAAGATGGCCCAGTGGGGAGGCTGCAGGGCTCCGGCACCTCGAGGAGGGCAGGGAGGGTGTCCCCGAGCTGCCCCCAGGAACCCACATCTCCTCTGCTCCCAGGGGACCTTGACTTGCAATGTGGAATCCACATTTCTCACACAGAGCCCAACGCTCACTCACCAACCAGGCCACCTTAGTCTCTACTGCCCTTCTCTGAACCCGATCTCTCAGCGCCTCCTATAGCCATTCCTCAAATGTCACTGACCCTCAACACACTCGATCCCACCCAAACCCGAGCCCTTCATGCAAACCCCATTCGTCCTCTGTGCTGGATCCCCGAGCAGGGCAGAAAGCACGGCACCCCACATTGGCCCCTCCCCCAGCTGCTCCCCTCAGCAGGCAGCCCCACCCCACCCCACCCCGCCAGCCCAGCCTCCCTCTGGCCAGACCAGGAAACCATGGCTGCCTCCCACACTGCCTGCCACACCCGCCCCACCTGTTCCTGCTGTCCTCCAGGAAGTGATGGTCTTCATCGTGAAACGCCATTCAGACCCCAGCACTGCCCAGAGCCCTCCCTGGTGCCCCCCCAGGAAGAGGCCCACACTGGCTGGATGTTAGACCAAGACATGACGCGGTGCACTATCCGTTATTGCAGCATCTTTACCAAACTTTACCACCCCATCACCATACACCCTGCACCATCACTGCCCCTCACCATCACCATTGCCACCATGAAACCAACACCTCCCTGCCACTGTTCCCCCATCACCACCATCATGTCCTACTATCATACATCTGCCTGTCACCCCAGTACACGCCACCATAGCACCCATTACCATCAACCTCTCCACCATCAACACGAACACGCACGCCTGCCCCAGTACCACATGGCCACCATCGTTCATCATCACTCTATCCCCACCACCACGGTACCATTACCACACACTCAGCCTTGTAGCCCCCAACAACTCTTCCCTGCTGCCACCACCTGATCACTATCACCTTTTGCCACTATCGTCCCCATCACGGTCACCCCCTTCCCATCACTTACACCTACAGCCCAAACTATCACCAAGGTCAATGTGAACCTCCACCCTCAGCATTTCAATTGTCAACCAGTCACCCCAATCCCTAGCACAATGATGAAGACAACTTCCCGACACAAGGATCAAAGGTCCTGGAGCTCAGACATGGCAACAGCTTCTCCAGGGCCATAGCCCAACGACTCTGTGCTACCTCAGTCCCCGCAGCCCTCTTGAGCCCCCCACCCCATCACCTCTGCCAGGAAGATGTACCGAGCCTGCAGGTTACGTACTTGGGCATGGGGTCGTTGTTGAAGCGGGAGTCGAACTCGTCGGTGAGGACACTGCAAAAAGGAAATCTCACAATTAACCACCTGCACCCCACCCAGCACGCCAGGAACAAACACAACCTTAGCACACACACAGAACATGCACGAAAGCCAACCCCATAATGGGCCAGAAAGGTGGGGCCCTGGTGGCCTCCAGAGGACAGATACCACACATACCAGGATTTCAGGCTACAAAGCCACACATCCTTCTAAAGCACACACGGGACATTCTCTAGGAGAGACCACCCAGGTGGCCAAGACAGTAAAAACATCCGTCCTGCAATCCAGGAGACCCAGGTTCAATCCCCGGGTTGGGAAGAACCCCTGGAGAAGGAAATGCCAACCCACTCTAGTATTCTTGCCTGGAGAATCCCCATGGACAGAGGAGCCTGGTGGGCTACCGCCCAAGGGATCGCAAAGAGTTGGACATCACTGAGTGACTAAATACTAACACATACGAGGCCACAAAACCAGTCTCAAGAGATCTGAAAAGATAGCTATCATACAAATTATTTTCTCCAACTACAATGGGATGAAGTTATAAATCAGGAACAAAAGACCCACGTCATAAAGTTAAAAACAAAACGCTAAAAATAAAACAAAAACTCTCATACCTTGAGAAATCAACACGTCACAACAACAGAAGAGCTGTAGCTTAAATAAGAAATTAGAGAATATTTAGAAATCTGTAAAACCAAATGAAAATAAAAACACCACTGATCAAAACTGGTGAAACACAGATAAAGAATTCTTAGAAGGAAGTGTATAGCTTTGATAGTGATATGGTAGGAAACTAAAGAAGATAGGGAAAACGTAATAGAACAAACTCCCAAAACAAGGAAGAAATTAATAAAGATAAGTGCGAAATCAAAGAGAATAGTAGCCACAGAAAGCAACAGAGAAGATGAACAGAACCAAAGCTGGCGGACCTCTGGCAAGACTAATGAAGAAAAGGAGAAAAGAGGCAAGAAGACAAAAGTACAGAATGAAAAGAGGAAAATAACAATAAGGACAACAGAGGTTTTAAAAAGTAGTAACTGGACATTTCCTGGCAGTCCAGTGGTTAGGACTTGGCATTTCCACTGCTGTGGCCCGGGGTTCAATCCTCAGTAGAGGAACTAAGATCCATCCCCCCAAAAAATAATAGTAACTTTGAACTGAACAAACCATCTGCAAAAAAAGCATTTGGGAAACAAGTGGAGGCAACTGAAGACTAGTATTAAAAGCTACTAATGAACTGCTGGTAATTGTGCCAAGTGTATTCTAGATACACGATCATATTTCTTTTTAAAGGACTCATTTGGGACTTCCCTGGTGGCCCAGTGGTTAAGAATCTGCCTGGCAATGCAGAGGACATGGGTTTGATCCCTGGGTGGGGAACTAGGATCCCATATGCCGTGGTGGGCAACTAAGCCTGAGTACACGCGACAACTACAGAGCCCACACACCACAACAAAAGATCATGCATGATGGAACTAAAACCCAATGCTATCAAATAAATAATTATTTTAAAAAAACAATAGTAATAAAGGACTCACTTGTACTGATGAAAAAACTAACATTTAAGGAGACGTTTTCATGTCTGGGATTGGTTTCAAAAGCACCCAGGAAACAAAAGTAGTAGGAGGTATGTGGAACATTAGCAGCAGAGTATTGCTAACCATGGGGGCAAGCAATGGATATATGGGGTTATTATTCTCTCTGCTTTTGTATGTTTTTGAAAATTCTCAAAAAAGAAAAAAGTCAAGAAACAAACAGAAAAATTTAAGAGAATTAGGAACAACTATATACTACTAAATTTAAAGGACAAGTAAAGCTAAGGAAAAATATTTTCAAAAAAATCAGTGTGCAGGCTTTGGCCAGCAATAACAGAGTAAGGCACACCAAGGTGGGGGGGGGGGCACAGTGGGAAGAGACTCCATGGAGGTGGGCCTGGCATCTAAAGCCCCCTTTCACCTAGGGGCACCAGCCTATTTCAGAAGGGCAATTCTCTAGGCAAGAAGACTGGAGTGGGTTGCCATTTCCTACTTTTGGGGATCCTCCTGGGATTGCATTCTCATGTCCTGTAGGGGCAGGCAGATTCTCTTTTTTCTTTTTTTTTGTCTTTTAAAAAAACTATTTTATTGAGGTCTAACATACTTACAGTTTAAAGTTGTTTAATTACTAATTCAAATTTTATTTTAAATGCCTTTAAGATAATTTTATATTTTAGATCGTAAATCAAGATTTTTCTCTGTTCCATATAAATTCTGTATCTGGCCCAAAGTTTCACATGCTTACTCATTCTATTCTGCCTTTCTTTTGGTTTTTTTCTTCAGTTTATTTATTTTAATTGGAGACTAACCATTTTATAACATTGCGGTGGTTTTGGCCATACATTGACATGAATCAGTGGCTGGTGGATTCTTAACCACTGAGGTCCTGAACACCAAGGAGAAACTCAGCAAGGAGCTCAGCTTCTACTCATCTCAGTCTCTGCAATCAGGCCAAGATGACCTTAGAATGCTTGTGTCCCTGGCAAAAGCAGTTATCAGTCCTTGCTGGAGGAAGTCCTGAGCTCCAAATGGCTATAATTCATTCTCCAAATACAATGTCTGGCACACAGCTGGTGATTTCCAGGAACACTAGAATACTAGACAACATGAAACAACAGAAACAACTGACAGCAGAAATATCCACAGGGGTTCCAAATATGGATGTTGTCAGACTCTGACCTTTGTTCAAGATCAAAGGAAAAAAAAAATGCAGCAGTTTAGGAGAACTGGAAACAAAAATGAAACAAATAAAAACTCCAGAACTAAAAAATCATGGAAAAATCAGTAATTTATTAGACAGCTCAAAATATAATTAATCAACTAGAAGACAGGCCCAAACAAACATATATATATATATACACTAAATCCTAGAGACACAAAAAGATGGTAAATCTATATACATGAAGACAGTAGGTGAAATATGGAAAACAGTGGTAGAAAAGGTCTTACATATGTGTAATTAAAGTCCCAGAGGGAGAAATGTGAAAATGGAGTAGAAGCAATCTTTAAAAAGAAGGATGCATGCTATTAAAATTATTTTTCTCCTAGCAAAAATGATACAACAAAAAAAGATAATGGCTGCAAATTTTCCAAAACTGGGGGAAAACAAACACAAAACCAAGCCAGATTTCAGAAATATCTTAAGCCCCAAGCAGCAAAAATTCAAAGAAAAACACACCTAGGTATAGCACAGTAAAACGTGAAAACCAAACATGAAGAGAAAAAACTTAAAAATTAAAGAAAAGACACGCCACTGGCAAAGGAGCAATAATAAAACCACTATCTGATTTCTCAACAGAAACAACAGACGTTAGAAGACAATGGAATGAAAGTTTCAAAATGCTGAACTTTGCTGAAAGTTTATACCTTCCAACCTAGTAATCCATACCAGGAAAAATATCCTTTAAGAAGGAATGTAAAACAAAGACATTTTCAAACAAACAAAAGCCGAGAAAATTTGACACCAGTCTACCTGTATGAAAGGTAGAAGGAATATGTCTCAGATGAAACTTAAACATGAAGGAAGAGAAAATAAATATACTGATAAAGGCAAAAAAGACAATCAAAATACTGTCTTTGGGAGACGCAAATCAAAACCACAATGCCATATTGCCTCATACCTGTCCAGACAGCTATCATCAAAAAGAACACAAATAAAAAATGTTGGCAAGGATACGGAGAAAAGGGAACTCTTTGGCCCTATTGCTGGGAATGTGAATTGGTGTAACCACTGTGGTAAACAGTATGGAGGTTTCTCACAAAATTAAAAATAGGGAATTCCCTGGCAGTCTAGACGTTACGACTCTAGGCTCTCACTGCTAAGGACTGGGGTTCTACCCCTGGTTGGGGAATTAAGATCTTGCATGCTACTTGGCATAGACAAAACAAACGAACAAAAACCCTGAAAAGAGAACTAACATGACTCAGCAATTCCACTCCTGGGATACATTTAAAAAAAAAAAAAGGAGAAGGCAATGGCAACCCACTCCAGTATCCTTGCCTGGAGAATCCCATGGATGGAGGAGCCTGGTAGGCTACAGTCCATGGCGTTGCTAAGAGTCGGACATGACTGAGCGACTTCACTTTCACTTTCATGCATTGGAGAAGGAAATGGCAACCCATTCCAGTATTCTTGCCTGGAGAATCCCAGTGATGGGGGAGCCTGGTGGGCTGCCATCTATGGGGTCGTACAGAGTTGGACATGACTGACATGACTTAGCAGCATCAAGGACAAATTACTGGGAATTCCCTGGTAGTCCAGTGGTTCAAACTCTGCACTTCTACTGCAGGGGACCTGGATTGGAACCCTGGTGAGGGAACTAAGATCTGCATGGCGTGGCCAAAAATAAATAATAAGAACTTTGTCCATTAAAAAAAAAAACCCAAAACACTAATTTAAAAAGATACATGCACCCCAATGTTCAAAGCAGCATTATTTACAATTGCTAAGGTATAGAAGCAACCAGTGTCCATCCACAGATGAATGGATGAAGATGTGGTGTGTGTATATATGTGTGTGCGTGTATGGGTATACACACACACACACACACATACATGTACATAGTGGAATACTACTCAGCCATAAAAGAATGAAATTTTGCCATTTACAGTACCATGGATGGACTTGGACAGCATTATGCTAAATGAAATAAGTCAAAGAAAGTCAAATACTATAGGATATCACTTATATGCAGAATCTAAAAAAAATACAACAAACTAATGGATACAGCCAAAGAGCAGCAGACTCACAGATACAAAGAACAAAGTAGGAGTTACCAGTGGGGAGAGGGATGAGGGGCACCTTAGGGGTGGAAGTGTGGGAGTACAAACTACTGGATATAAGATAGGCTCAAGGTTGTATTGTACAACATGGGGAATATAACCAATATTTTGTAATAACTATTAATGGAAAGTAACCTTTAAAAATTGTATAAAAAAATTTTTTTTGTAAAAGAAAATTAAAAAAAAAATTTTTTTTGA